TGATCTTCTCGGGTCCCTTCCAACCCTAGAAACTATGAAACTACATAAGAGTTTCAGAAATCTTCCCTTTTTTTGAAGGATCTTTAATCTTCAGTGCTTCAATACCAGAAGGATGGACATCTGCTGCCCAGTTTACAAGGTCACTGTGAAATGCCTCAGTTTTCCCATTTCATCCCGGGTCATTTCTGATGGTTTGTAGTACTATAGCACTGTCTCATCAGCCTACTCCATTTTTATAGCACTTTAAAGTTGTTTAAAGGGCTATAGATTTTAGGTTGGTCCATATTCAGAGTTAACTACTAGTCACTTGCTTAGAGTGAAATATGTGTGGACCAGTGCTTGAAAAAGAGCACTTTAGAGGAGGAGTCACATCCAACATGCAGAAAGATTTGTATCCAGCCGAAGAAGGTCCAGCCTGGGCTGAGGCAGCATGGGAGGGTCAGGTGGCGCAGGGCTCCATCGTGCTGCCCATCCCTTCTGCAGCATCTTCCTCCACAGCTCTCCCTACTGCTCGCTTATGCCTGTAGTTACCCTTACTGAAGGAGAATGGGGTGCCTGCAGTGAGAGTAAGTACAGGTGGCTTGAGCTGCGGGCAGAGCTTTGCAGCCTGCAGCAGGGGCCTGGGTCACAAGTTTCCACGTAAGGGGCAAAAAATTGGCAAGCCCTGCTTTAGAGTAACTGCAGCTGTTTGAGGTGCCTCTTCCCAGGCAGATTTCGTGATCCACCGGCTTTTCTCAGTGACATGGAATCCTCTCACTGGATGCGAGTACTGGGTTAAAAAAAACCCAACCTGAATAGCAGTGTTGGGGCTGCTCTACTCTTTAGGTTAAGGGGTGAGGTCTGGGATCCAGAGGCATACAGGACAAAAGTACAGCCTCCCACAGCTGCTCTTGGGTAAAAGATTCCAGACATGCCTGCATGGGGTGCATACATCTACAGTGGGATCCACCAGCAGAAGAGAGATCCTGAAGAACTCCAGCTACTGCAATCTCTCTCTTATGCCTTAGGAATGTCCTTCTCTAATGCTATTTAAGCTGGTTGTTTGAAACCTTGGACTTAATTCCCTGTCTCTCTTTTTCTAGCCAATTAACAACGCGGATTTCATTGTCCCTGTTGAAATTGATGGAACCATACATCAGGTAATCATCGCTGTTGTACTCTGAATTTATGAAAAAATGTAAGGCCAGAAGGGACCATTAGATCTTCTTGTCTTGCTTCGTGTATATCGCAGGCTGTTATCTTTCTCTCGGTTGTCTCTGTGTTGAACTAAATAACTTCCTCCTAAGTGAAATATAATTTTGTGGGCACAGATCCGTAGCATCTGTTGGCAAAAACCATGACGCCATGGCTGTGTCTCTGTAGCAAAGCGCTCTCTCGTTATAGTGCATTGGTACAGTGATGTAGCAGCCAAAAATAACTGCGTGGTCAGCACGGTGCGGTACAGGCTGTTACTGCACTGCCCTTTAGTACTTCCAGAAGGAAGTACTAAATGATGATGCAGTAACAAAGGTGCCATACGGCCATGTGTAAAAGTGCCCTGTGTTTGTGTAGAGCATATCGTCCTGAAAAGAATCCAGACTTGACCTGATGCAAGGTTTCTAATCAGCTACTAGTCTGCCTTTAGCTGCGTCAGCACTTCTAGAAAATCTCCTGTCCCAAACTGAAATCATTTCTCATGGAGGCTGAGCTTCTTCAAAAATTAAACAAGGTAATGATACATTTCAAGTGGTGTCAGTGTAAGGTAATATACCTATTTCTTTACAATGGTCTTCATTCCTTAAAGGCAGAGGCTGACAGAGTCAGATGATGAACATTGAAAAATTGATTTTTTTTTTTTTTTTTTTTAAAAATGTTTTATTTCCTTAAAGGGGGGGGTGTAAAAGGTCAAAAATGAAAAATGAAAAAATTTTTTTTTTTTTTTTTTGTAAAAATGTGGATCAGCAGGAAAAATAGAACTAGAAATCCGGGTGGCCCTCGCCCCAGTCCACATCTACATTTAAGCTTTGCATGTCAGGGTTCCTTGTCTTCTAAGTACCCAGCAGGCTTGGGACAATATGAAAAAGATTTTCAAAAGTCATGTGATATTTTTCTTTTCTTTTTTTTGCCTATCTCAAATTTTAAGCTCTTCCTTTCAGAAGCCATATATGAACCTGCCTTTCAGGAAGTGCTGACCATCTGTTCTGTGAAAATCAAACCCATTGAAAGGCATTTCAGATTGCTCTTTGAAATTTTGATGCATTCAACTGTGCCACTTCTGAAAATCTTGGCCCAAATTAACATAATGCTTAAAGGTTCCTTCTCCAGATTTTAACATTACATCTTTATACTTAAATTTGGCCCCACTCTTTACTGGACTTTTTATATCTTAATTTTCTGATGTATTGAGCTTGCATGCTGATTTAAAATATATCTTTTGTTAGGTAATACCCAAAAGTTTCTTCTCCAGCCAGTCTCAAACATGACACCTGACACAAACTTGCTGCATTATACTAAATTACACTGAATTATGATAACATCTGGATCAGGACCTAATTGTACTACATGTCACACATCTTTCTAGGTAGATAGCTGTGTCTCAAAGGTTTCTCTCTCTCTATTTAAGAGTGGACAGGGCCATTATAATCTTCTGCCTCATCACAAGCTGTAAAATTTCCTTAGGTAGTTCCTGCATTGAACCCGTCACTTCTCATTTGGTAGAGCATAGTATAAACTGATTTTTAACAACAGTTATCTGTCAGAATCTGCAATCCCTGTATTCTGACTAAAGTCTAGAAGAAAGAAAACAAAGATTAAGCAATCTTCACTGGAAAGTGTATTTATGTAATATAGTATATTAGACAAGTACTAACATGTTACGAAACTATCGTGACAGTAGATAAGGTCATAATCCACTTTGTATGAAAGCAATAGCACCCTTTCAAAGCAGGGGTTATTCAAAGCAATATTACCAGACCTGATTTTCACCTTAAATAGGTTCCCTTAGAAGACAAGCAGAATGTACAAGTTTTGTTGCTCTGTAATTTTCTAAACTGCCTGTTTGGAAACAACTTTTTATTGGTTTTTCTTTCTGCCAACAAAATATATTAGCATGGTTTTTTCTACAAGAAGCCTCAAATTGCTTCTTGTAAATACACAGCAATATATAATCCCCACATTATCTCTTAAACTATTGTTTTTTTAAAATTATAATCTTCAAGTGACACTGAAAGGCTAAATTAGCTTTTCTCTTGCTGGAGTAAATTGTAGCACAAATACCTAAGAGAGCACGTCCAATATAAACAGACGCTGTATCGGTCAGATAATAGCACAGTCCCTTTCTCAGGTCTCTCTTTCTGGCTCTATAAAAGTAAAAAGAAAAAAAAAGATGAACTTAGTTTCCTATGCCTTACCAAATTATTTATAAATCTCGGCAAGATCAATGAAAAATATGTTGTAATTCATGAAGGCTTTATAAAAGTGGGTGTTTTTGTAAATGAAAATGGCATACTGAGATGAGATATAGCAATGTATAAAATTAATGCATAATTTTGGCATCATTACATAACACCTTTTTCCATGTTAATCAGTCAAGAGCGTGTTCATTAAAAATTAACATTTAATTCTAGCACCCGGGAAAAATCGTGAGTATTTTGATGGGCTTAGAAAAGATAGGTTGCCTTTTTTTAAAATGTGGTTCCAGCAGTTTGAAGCCTTTACACTAATGGAGGGTTCTGTGTTTTTTTGCCATATAATGATGTTGGTAACTTGCTATACTGGCAGTTACATAGCACCCCATTATACCCAGAAATTCCTTTGTATACAGTAATCCTTTATTAGGGTGGTTACATAACTTTGTCTTATACTGCAACAGTTGGAGTAGATACAGCAGTTAGAAATAGCTTTATTTAGCACAGTTTGGAACTGTTTTTTTCCGCTTATTATTATGTGAATCTAAGATGCCAGGCACTAACATGAACAAAAACTAGCTTCTTATTGTTTGAATAATATGTCAATACAGAAAAAAATGTTTTGAATTTTTTAAGCTGATGGAAACATATGTTTACTATGCTTGTTTGGGATATTGTATGTGACCTCTTTTATGCAGAACAGTGTTAAATGTAATCTTTCTTTCCACGAAGGACAGTATTCCTCAGTTCTCCTGGAAAAGGTTGTTACCTGGTTCAAGTAATCCAGGATAGGCTGTATGCATTGGAATTGGCCTATTCTCGATTACTTGCACTGGGAGACAGCCACAACAAAGAGGGCCAGACACGTGAAGACACAAGAATTTGCAGTATTTTTCCGTTTCCTATTAGTAGGAAGGACCCACCCTGTGAAATGGAAGATTTAGTAGTTCAGGTTGTCTCTGTCAGACTTCTCTATTGCATGAAGACTGTGAGGTTCCAAAATGAATTTTTTTAAAAGTGTGTACACAATTGTATTTTATTGAAATAAAGTTTGTATTTCTGCTTACAAATATTGTACTCTTCAAAGGTGACAGTGCTTCACAGTATATGGGAAGCTTTATCTGTAAACAATCTCTAAAATACATTTAATATAGTTGAAGTAGTTAAACTTAATAGGTTTTAAAGAAGTACTTTACTAAAAAACTCCTTTAAATGTTAGTTACTGAGATATAGTTAATAAAAATTGACTGTATTCCCTTAAATTTTTACCAGAATAGAGAGGTAATTAACAAGCCACTACATCCTGAAGAGTACAGATGTAGAAGAAATGAGTCTTTTTATGCCTTGAAAACAGTATATAAATCTCAGCGAAGAGCCAGGAGCCAGTTAGTCTAGAGACTTGAAGACATCATACAACAGAAAAAAAGCCAAGCCACAAATAACCATGCAGCATTGAGATTCAAGTCCAGTAGCTATTGAAGCAAAGAAAAGAATATGCTAAGTGAGAATGTGAGGAGGCAGAGAAGAAAAGAGCTGCTCTGTAATTGGAGAAAGGTTTTGTATAAAGGAGACCAAGGGATTTTGTAGTCCAGGATACCAGTACACTTGCGGTTGCTACCAAAACCTGAGAGTGACTTCTCAAAAACCTTCTGTAGAGAGAATCCACACCTGAAGCACTAAGGAACTTTGTCTTGGTAAATGCTGATATGCTGTTAGGAAGAAGAGATGGGGTTTTTTCCTATAAGCCCTCAGGAAATGGTGGGGCCTTATCCAGAATTTGGAAGTGATCCTGTAGCATATACTAGGAACTTGTGCACACACAAGGCATTTAAGTAACAAAAAAGAGAAAAGTTGTTGGCCAGTGCCCGGTTGGCCTGAAAAAGGGAAGACAGAAGGGAACTGAATTAGGAATGCATGAGAGTGCCACTGATAGACCAAAAGATCTAGACCACCACCGTCATTAGATGGAGGCTGCTCCACTTTACAGAGGCGCTGCATAGTCCAGTTCATATTGACTACCTGCTAGCAGCCATGTGGCCACAGGACACCAGGCAAGGATTTAAAATAAAAAAAAATGATTTGTTTTTCAGCCCACCTTTGTAAACAAGTCGGTAGGTGGGGCCAAGCTCCCCTGGCATGGGGACAAATATGTTTTTATTGCAAGCGCCCATTGTTTAAATCCTTGGTTTGGATTTTATAATTAAAGTGCAAGGGAAATGCTTTTTAAACATATGTATGTCTCTCTCTCTTAATGCATTTTGGCTTAGTGCAACTGAATACACTGACTTTTTTAGAAAGGAAGAAGACTCATAACACCTAGAACTTGTCACTAGGTGATTTCAGTATATTGGTTAAGGAATTCTTATACATCGTGCTGGGTGTCTGTGAATATAAATGTGGGAGAGAAATTAGATTGTGACTTTAGAAAGGAGAACAAGCAGTTCTGCACTTCTGGCAACACCTGCAAAACATCCCTACAGCTACCTGGAAAGAAAACAAATAGCATTTACATGCATTGGCTGCTAAAGAATTGTCTGTAAACTGAATTCCACTCAAGCCATATACTTATCTAATTGACTACTAAAATCATTACAAAAGTGGGGAATCAAAATTAAAGCTGAGAGAGAAATTTGTCCTCAGATTCCATGTATGAATATCCCAAATGAGTGTGCCCAGGTGACATAGGGCTCAAAGTGAAGTGAAGAGTAATTAGCATTTGCATCAAAACACTTGGGCTTTTATCAAACAACTCCTAGGCAGTGTTCAAGTCCTTATTACGTCCTTTTTCTTCCTTTTGCTGAAGGGTTTTATTACACTGCAGAGTTCAAGCTGGTATTTCTGTAATATTTCTCCTTCAGTGCTTAATGGGATCCCTATACTTCTTTTGCTTTTTGATAATACTTTTAATCTAATCAAGATCATACATTAACCAGCGTAACTTCCTTATACACAAAACAGAAACATTAATTAATTTGACTTGTGTATGATGCTTTGCTTTTTAAAGAAGAAACTCCTTTAATTATTTACCAGACTTTTGCATTTAAGCGAATTTTAGCATTGTAGATTATTGGTTACACTAGGAAGATATAATATGGCTAATCAGGTTCTTTCAAACAATTTCAGTCTCTCAGTAGCAAACAAGACAGATGACATGATTTAAAATATATACATATTTAACTCTCCACTTGGCTTCCCAATTTTTTATTATCATCGTAATCAAATTGTAAACTTCCTGGACAGGGACTGCGTCTGTCTTGGGATCTTGTATGAACACAAAGCACAGTGTTATTTGCTTGACAAATAATAATCTAATTATTCTTAGTGTTGGCAGTGAGCAGCCAAGCTACTGGTACTGTTCTTTGTGCAGATAGGCAAGGGCTCCTTCTTGGAGCTGCAGCTGCCTGAAAGGAGCAAAACTCAGAATATTTACTGCATTTATGATAAAGCCCTAACAGAATGGGTTATGTCTTTAGCCTGTGGCTTTTAAAAGCAATTTTAACCAGCCTTTCAAAGTGGTGGTACAGTAAAGCCTATAGTATATATTGGAAATACATTTTTCCATTCAGCAGGTAAAAGTTTCTGTTTTACTTGCAGGTTTAGAAAGCTAGCAAAATGCAACAGAGACAGTAATCCTGTGGATACATAAAAAAATATATATTTGCGGGGCAGGAGGGGAAAGCAGCATCTGACACAGACAAGCAAAGAGTGCTAACAGCAGAAAACGGTGGATGTTTGCTTACCTCCAAAATTGCTTAAGGAACTAAGGAAACAAACAACCAAGGAGTCAGTCCTATCACTGACGAAGTTGTAAAGCCTCAACCCTTAGATAGTCTTCCTCTTTCAGAGGTATTTTCAGAACACACCATGGCAGGAGGATGCACATTATTAGCAACAGCATGATCAGCTGGGGGCTACGAGTCACATAAAAGCAAATATCTTTTCTGAATCTATTTAACAGAGCATCCTTTGTCACATTTACTTTTTCCTTCCCGTGTTAGGCTAACTCCTCATCTCTTTTTTTTTAAAGCATCATTTGACCTAAACAGTTACTGTCGTTCCAGGTTTATGTATTGAAACGACCGCATGTGGATGAGTTTCTCCAGAGAATGGGAGAACTCTTTGAATGTGTACTCTTCACAGCCAGTCTAGCCAAGGTTTGTCATAGACTCTTCTTTGTCCTTAGTATTTTTAATGCTGGTTAGTGAATTTTTTTGTTCGGGTTTTCTATGGATAATTGTCTTTCTTAGTGCTATCTTAATTTTTCCCCTTCTTTTCTGCTTCTTTGTCTGACAGTGTGTACTTTGTCTGCTAGTGTGTGGGTAAGTTGTTTCCATGGTAACAATATCACATATGGGCTTGTCTCATAATGTAGCCTCCATGTATTGCTCATGATGCCGATATGAAAGGCTTACAAGTTACCATGGTTATAGTGGGCAATTAGAACAAATAGTGTACTACATAAAGCAGTGTATTAAAGCCGGGCATGAAATACAATACACCATATCTAACACAACAACTATGTAACCAGGTGATTTAGTTCAGAAATTACTTGGGTACAAAAATACAGAGAGCACTTCTGAATTGTGGATGTGCAGTTTATACTCTGGGTTTAGAAACTGAATCCTTTTTGCACAGCTTGACAGATGTCGTATCTGAAAATCCATATTTTGTGCCCTTTGAGTTTTTGTAGACATAGTTATACCAGAGGTAGTTCTGTAGCGGACTTCAGTATATAAATTCTGCATTGTTTTTGGTGGAGCATATCTGGTGGTGGTTTTGCTATGAAATCAGCTTATTTTTAATCTTTCTTATTTAAATATATTTGTTTTTAGTAAAGTAAGTTATGTTTTAGTCTCCTTGTGACTTTCCATAGACTATAGAGATGGAGAAGACCTATTAGAGCATCTAGTTTATATCCTTGTCAGCGCTGGATTTGTGGTCACCAGGGTTGTGTCCAGTCTAGTTCTGAAAATTCTGGGCACTGGCGCTTTTCTGTAGGGGAAAGTCATTAACAGCAAGATCAGTTTTGTTGCAATATTGAAAATCCACATAAAACACTTAACCTTGTACTCCAGAAGCAAAACTATAAAGGACTAGTGCTAAGTAAAATTGCCAAGGATATAAGCGCCTATGCTCTGGTTTCCTTTCTACATCTTTCCTTTTCCTTTGGCCATTTCTATCACTTCTCAAGCCCCAGTTCACGTCCTAATATGCTGCACTACATTCACTATCTTCAAGGCATGTGGTAGAGCTGCCCCTTTTTTCCTTTGGGTGTTTCCCAGAGCAGAATGCAGCATATGCCTCTTTTTCTTAATGGTATTTTCACCTGCTCTGGTTTGGCCCTCAGGCACCACATATAATTAGTAAAGGTGTATGAATTAGATGAAGTCATCTGCCCTTTCATAACGCTTTACCTTTATAGACACGTGGAATTGGAGGTGATAAGAGCAACTTTGAACTTGGTGTTTGGTGCTGTAGATTTCTCTTCACTATTTTTTTCATGCATTTCACAGTAACATTAAGCGTTTAAGGAGAAATGCAAGGACTCCACAGTGAGATGTATTTATGTAATCAGTAAATCATAGGAAACTTTGCACTGCAGGTTATTTTCTTTCTGAAAAATAACTGTACTGTACTCCTGTCACCCCTCCATTAATAAATACTGGGTTTGCCAGCATGTAAATTAGTTGAAGGAAAAGGTGGTTATAATTGTGCTTTTACTTTTCTGTCCTCCTTGACTTGAGCAGGGACTTGAACTGGATGAAGTTCACAGTCCCTTTCCAGACTGCCTTTTATGTGCTTCTGTTTAGTTCTGGGAAATATTGCCAAATCTATGGACAGACTATTTCAGCTCTCAAACTTCTTTTTTTAAGTATGCAGACCCAGTAGCAGACTTGCTGGACCGCTGGGGTGTATTCAGGGCCAGACTCTTCAGGGAATCCTGTGTTTTCCACAGAGGAAATTATGTGAAGGATCTGAGTCGACTGGGACGTGAGCTGAGTAAAGTTATTATAGTAGATAATTCTCCTGCATCTTATATCTTCCATCCTGAAAATGCAGTAAGTAATTCTGAGAGATGAACTTTATTTCTTCGGGCTTTTTGCTCAGGGCTCCATGTTCAGAGATTACTGATATGATCTACAGTGAGCTAGTGCCAGGTGCCTTCAGTTTCTTAAAGTAGACATGTGGGCTCTACTGCTAGATGTGGTCAGAGGGAGAGGGAGGGCTTCTCCAGCTGCTCCTTTAAGTATTATCAATAGAGGTTCCCATTTTGGGGGTACTTGTGCATTCCGCTCAGCAGCCACTTCCTGCCACAGTTATTAGGTATTTATTTCATTGTAAATTGTTGAATTTAATGCAGCAGAGATTTATGTTTCTTCATTAGAAACAGTGTTACTGTGAACATGGTCTTCCTGTAGAAATTGCTCATCTGGCTTCTTTGTTTTGTTTTGTTTTTTTTTTTTGTTTTTTTTTTTTAAAGACTTTAAGGCACACCTGTCTTAACCTCAGTTTTCTAAAATAGGATCTTAATATCTGGGTCCCTCAGCTGTTTGGGTGAAGCCTAACGGTTGCGTGCCAAATATGGCGCTCAACCTTTAGGCACCAAATATGGTTTGAAGTTATTATCAATGAGCAAAATGATGGGGAGTCTCTGCTCTAATTCAAGCTGATGGATAGAATTCAGAACTATTCCAGACCATTATTTAATGTTTCAAAATTTAGAGCCAAGGAATTACTATCTAGTAGAGCAGTTGGGTTTAACTGGGGTGTCGCAGGACCCCCTCAACCGTGCCACAACACAGGCACTGAGGGGGCAGCCAAGTAAAAAGGCCTATGGCACACATACAGGCTGCCTTGGGGCTCTCTGAAAACCATAAAACAGGACAGGAGAGTTGGCTTAAACTGTAGCCTTTCCCAGTCCTTTACCCCTATGCTTCTCTTGAAATGGGCAGAAGGGTGGAAGTGTCGTGTGTGTGTGTGTGTGTGTGTGTGTGTGTGTGTG